ACCTCCTACACTCCAATGAAAAAAGTCCTAGCCAATCCACCTCTCGTCTTAACCATTGTGGACTATGTAAGATTGTACTGTGATGCTTCAGAGATAGGGTGGGAGCATGGCTGGGTGTAAAGTTTGCATCAGTGCAACTTCTAAGTACAATGTCTCTAGTTGCTAATATTGAACTCATCCACCCCAGAGCAATCAACAGCAAAACACATTTGTTATAAGTCTTCAAACTCACAAAATTCCAAAAGAATAAGTCGGGATATGTCCAACAGAATACAGGAGCATGGAAATAGAACTGACCCTCAGCTTCAATAAGGAAGAAAAAGAAAGACTTGACAATTTTGTGTAGCACCTTTCACAGCTTCAACTGTATTCAATTAACTCCTTTTGAATTGTAAACACTGTTGTAATGTAAGAAATGCTGCAACCAATTTGCAAACAGCAAGCCCTCGCAAACAACAATGTGATAATGAAATAAAACAAAGAACTGCAGATTCTGGAAATGAGAAAAGAAATTCCGGAGAAGCCTAGCAAGTCCTGCAGCATCTGTGGAGAAGGCTCATTGGACTTGAAGTATTAACTCTGTTTCCTGCTCTGTAGATGCTGCCAGACCTGCTGAGTTTCTCCAGCACTTTCTGTTTACTTATATGATAATTATGTTATTGTGATTTTGATTAAGGAGTAAACATTGAACAGGGCACCACACTCAAAGTTGTGTGATGAGAGGCCAGAGACCCCCTTCCTTGTTACTTTACATTTCCTTCCAGAATGTCAATTTTTAAAGAATAAATCAACTTTGAATGAGGAAAGAAACCTTTCTATTTTGTCTGTTCATTTCTCCCTTATGTAAGATCTAGTGATATAGTTAGTTCCTGTTATTCCATAACCCATTGCCATATTTCCAAGTGTGTTTATTGAGGAATGGGTATTAGATATTCGATTATGCATTATATCCAATAACAAAGGTTGTGATTTTAGTTCTGGTTATGCAACATTGAAATTACATACATTTATTACATTCACTAATGAATATTACTGTGGGGAAATAATAGTTCTACAATTAAGCAAGTGGCAAAACCTGAATGTTTGGTGCATGGTGTCAAGTGATTTTTGAAGGTGGGGAATTGGAGCAAGACTATAGATTAACACAATGTGTTAAACCTGGAAGTAAGGTGATGGGTTATGGAACAGCAGAAACTATCTCACCCACTACCACATGAGAGAGATGTAGGGAGATAAGAGGGCTCTTTCCTCATTCTAAATTGATTTCTTGAAAAAGAAGACCATTTTGGAAGAAAATGTCAGGGAACAACCACTTATCTTTGGTTGTGGGATGTGGAAGTAAATGAAGGATTAAACATGAAACAATTGATGATAGAGCAAGGGAAGATTACAAGATTTCAGTGTCTGATTCAAAGAGGGAAAGGTATGAGTAGTGATAGGAGCCAGATGGAAGGCGGTTAGTGGTAGGGTTAGGGACCACAATTTTAACCAGGTTTTGGAGGAGGAAAGTATGTACCATTGGAAGTGGGGGTCAGCATGGAAGGGATCCGGGGGGGCTACATTTTTGTTGAATTTCCCACCCTAAAGGGGGAGCTTGTTGTTGCTGAGTTCTTTCACCATTCCACACTTTGCAACATCTGTCCCGCTAAAACGCACAATGGGGTGAGGAAGACATTGCAAAGTCAAGCCAAAGAGAAAGAAAGAGACTGATGTAGGATAGAGAGAGAGAGAGATGAACACAAAGATAGTAAAAGCGAGCAGGAGGAGGCTATGTTCTTTAATTTACAGAGTGAGAGCATGGGAGGGATAATTTGCTTTGTGGGCAGGGTGCTTCATTGAAAACATGTGATACTCCTCTAGGTGCTGCTGTGGTCAGTTTTCTCATTGACAAGTGTCACATTAAGAGACCCCACAGACACACACAAGGAGGACCTTGTGCCCTTCCCCTGGGAGGTGCTTGGTGGTCGGGTGCATTTAATTGGACAATGGGTGGGAGGTCCGCTACCTTCCTGACTCGCCTCTGATTGTTCTTGCTGCCCTGGGGAAGATTCCTTAATCAACCCAATTCAGCGATGTGGTGACATGCTTCTGGGCCAGGTGGGACTTGAACCCAGTCCTCCCGGCTCAGAAGTATGGATGCTACCACAGTGTCACAAGAGCCCTTGTATGTTGCCCATGGGCTGGCCGAACCTCTCCTGCTGTTCAATGAGGGCACATTAATTTCCAATTAACTCACCCTGTCACAGGGTGTTGGATTGGCAGCGAGTAGAGTTTCACTGTACAGGGAGCGCAGCAAGCAAACTTGGAGACGGGTGAAAGTCAGTGTGAGCGTCATTTATTCAAAGGCTGAGTGGCTGCTCGAGTGACCTGGCATTGGTAAGGGGTGCACGCTCAGAACTATCTCCTTGTCTGTTGTAGCTAATGACCCATCGTTTAACAAGTGACCATCTCTCCCCAGTGCCTGCCTCTCTCCTCCACCTGGTGGCTTGTTGTTGGGGTAGCAGTGGTATAAGTCACCATCTCTCTGCAGTGACCCTGCTGATTGGCCAGATGACTGTCCTCTCCCGTGCCTCCCTCCCATGGTCCAAGACCTTGAGGAAGTGGAGGGGGGAAAGGCCCTGTTGCTGACCTGCTAAATGCCCGAGTGGCACGAGAGATTTTCCATAAGTCATTCCGGCCACCTTTCAGTTAAAGAAATTTCCAATGTCTGAGGGAAATGGTTTACCCTGTGATGCAAAGGCGAGGGTAAATGTATCTAACAATGTTATTTTTTGGCATCTTTTAATTCCTTCATTTAAAGTTTTTATGGAAAGGCCTAAGACTCTCACTGAAACCTAATCTCTGGTTTGGGTATTGTATATGCTGTTTCGTGAGTTTGTCAAATTCATTTCGATCGTGAAGCCTAAGCATTTGCAAATATCTTGGGTGCATCGACTCTAGGCATCTCTCCTGTGGAGATGTGTCTCTTTAGTTTCTTGTTAAGGGCACTCAGCAGTGATACAGTGTTTGTCAATATATAGTTGATTGAGTGAGTGCACTTTAATGAATGAATGCAGCCTGCCAACTGTTTTCTTGGAAAGTTACAAAACCTCTGGGGGAAGCAGAGTAGTTATCAAAGCTTCCAGCCCTTCTTTATCTCCAGTGGCTGGCCCTGCCCTGACTGTCTATTAAGGCACTTGTAACCAATTTGCTGAACAGAATCATATGCCCCCCAGTGCCCTGGCTAATATTCATTCCTGAATTCATCCCACAAAAACAGATTTGCTGGTCACTCATCTCATTTCCTGCTGAAGGGAACTAAGGTTCACAATGGCTGCTGCATTTGCACATATAACAACAACTGCATTTTGAAAGTGAATGATTATATTTGGACCATCAGACCATAAGAAATAGGTGTAGGTCATCTGGAGCCTGCGCTGCCGTTCAATAGGATCCAATATTCCTCACATTCACTTTCCTGCCCTTTCTCCATTACATCCTCTCCATTGTGGGGACCTGATGGCCTAATGGTATTATCACTGGACTGTTAATCCAGAGACCTAGGTGTTGTTCTGGGGACCTGGGTTCAAATCCCACCACGACAGATGGTGAGGTTTGAATTTAATAAAAGAAGTCTAGAATGAAGAGTCTGATGATGACCATGAATCCATTGCTGATTGTTGGAAAAACCCATCTGGTTCACTAATGCCCTTTAGGGAAGGAAACTGCCATCCTTACCTGGTCTGGCCTACATGTGACTCCAAACCCACAGCAATGTGGTTGACTCTTAACTGCCCCCTGGGCAATTAGGGATGGGCAATAAATTGCCAGTCTAGCCAGAGATGGCCACATTGTGTGAATGAATAAAGAATTACCCTTGATTCCCGACTGGTCAAGTATCTGTCTATTGTAGCACTTTTGGACAACCAAGATGGAGAAAATACATTGTGTGGAATACAGACGGCTAGAAATACTGTTGTAGATCTGTCAGCGTTTGTAGAGAGAGAGAGACAGAGTTAATGGTTCCTGTTGATTAAGATTCTTCTTTTGAATTGAAGGAAGGTTGAGATGTGAAGGGTTTGACACTTCTGGGGATGGGCAAAGAAACAATGAAAGGGAAGCTCAGGGATAGGGCAGAGAATGGGAATATCAAGTGATTGAGATGTTGTGGATCATAAGACAAAGGAAGTAGCAATAGTCGTAGCAAATTGACCAAGCATTTGTCCAGAGGGAGTATAAACAGTAGAGTAGTACCTGCTAAATACTTCCAACACTTCTGTTTCTCTCCATATTTCCAGCAGCCCCAGTATTTTATGTTTACTGGAGAAATGACATGTCATTTAAAGTTGTTTCAGAGATAGTAGGAACTGCAAATGCTGGAGAATCTGAGGTAACAAGGTGTAGAGCTGGATGAACACAGCAGGCCAAGCAGCATCAGAGGAGCAGGAAGGCTGACGTTTCGGGCCTACC